TATACATAATTTTAACCAAACAGATTATGAATGATACTATTAAATTTATGAAGATTGTGTAAAATTCTTTCTCAATATTTATTAAAGATTGAATTCAGCTTTATCATTTCTATTCAAATAATAAATCCATTTCCATTTTTTAATCCTTAAAGACTATACGGATTTCAGATTGAAAATGAAAACCATTTCTTTTTAAAAGTCATGTATAGATGCATTAATTAAGTATTTATCTTTTGTATTGTTTAAAAGACTTTATTAGAAAAAATCATAATTAATGATTTTATTATTAAGAGAATGTATGTAGATAGGTAGGTATTGTTTGAAGTTGATTTTAAGATAGTAATTTAAATTGTATATTATAATTAATAAATTATAAGATGAATAGTCCTTTTATTAAAGAGAAGTCAAATGATTTGGACTAGCTGAAGAAGGCAGTTTCAGATTAGATGAATGATTAATTCATAGAGACTATTTTCAATGTGCAAAAATAGAATGAGGAATAAGAACCATAGAAAGAGTAAAAGTAACGAGTGAGATATACAGAGAAATTATCGAGAATATATTATTTGTATTTGAAGTTGATAATGGGTCGAGAATTGAATGATGATGAAGATGAAGAGTTTTTAGAATATATGGATCATAGATCAACTGAAAAAGGTAGAATATTAAAAATGAAGAAAAGTTTTGAATATGTAGATGAATTTGATTATCATATGGGTGATGTTATTTTAAGGTTATTTATTTTGATTATGTAATTATAGTTTTCCAAATCCTGATTCAGATGAGGTAGAATGTGTATAATAAATGTCTCCAATGGAAGCAATTACTTTATGTATGAATAGTTTCAATCTCAAAAATAGTGGAACTGACTTTGAAGTCATTGATAATTTAGTGTTTTTAAAAGCAATTGAGGCTAGTTTATTTATGCTAGCTTAAGTTTTTGATGATGATGAAGCTCCTATAGAAGAAATAGTTTAGGATAGTGAAGATGATGAAGAGAAGTTAAAGAATAAAAAAAAGAAAAAAACTAAATTTATACGTGCAGGAGGTGAAAATGATAAAATATCTATGGCTGCAAATAAAATAGATAATAAATTAAGAGCAATTAAATCTAGTGTTAGAGGAAATAAATTATAAGCCATTAAAGAAATCTTTAATTTAGATTATGATAAATTAAATAAGAGTAAGACTAAGTATAAAATGGCTAAGGGAAATTACTTTTAATTTGATAGTGTAAAAAAAGAATGGGGTCGTACCAAAAATGATACATAAGATTTTACTACTCTTATTAGACATGTAGTTATGATTTAATTATCTAAATCTGGTTTTAATTCTAGATAATTTCTCTCAAGAGATGGTTCAATCATTTTTATTGTTCTATATTAATGTGATTAAAATTTGGGTATTGTTGCATAAACACATTCTATTACTAAATAATTATATATGCAATTCTCAGATTTGCTCTCCTTAGAACCTGTTGATAAGAATTTACGACCTCTTAGATTAAATAATAGACTATGGAGAGATTAAGAAGAATATGCAACTGAAAATCTCTCTGAAAATTTTTTATATTTAAAACCTAAAATTTAAGAATTACTCAAAGAAATTAATTTTAAAAAAATTGCAAGAGAATTAAATCTTTCATAAATGAATTAATAACTATTTTCTAAAGAAGGATCCGAAGATATTATTGAATTTGATGGACCAACTGATGCTATGTGGTCAGCTTTTTATTCTTATCTTATGTATCTTAAATAACCAATGAAACAATTAAGAGAAGATTTTAGAATTGATAGTTAATATGCTTTAACTATTAATAAATCGCCTTATCATTTATATAAATAAAGATTTCCGAATGATTAAATGTTAGAAAATTTAAAAATGTCAGAAATCAAAAAATTAGAAGAATTTGTATCTGAAGATTAAATAGAACAAGAAATTCAATTACATGGCAGACCTAATGATATTTATAGAGTTCTCAAAGGAATATATAATATAGTATTAGAATAAAGACAAATTTAAAATAAATACAGTCTTATTAAAAGTTATTTCCACATACCAAGTTATAAGAAAGTAACCAGTCGTTAGATTAAAGCATCAAAAAGAGAAACACTAGCCTTAAATTACCTAAATCTATTAAGAGAAGGCATAGAAGTTACAAATTATTAAAATAGATAATTATTTACTATTTGGGATATTATTGGAATTGAACCTTTTGAGCCTTTTATTCCTTATAACATTACACCTAATAACATAGCTTTTAGTCAATAAATTAGAATGAATTCAATATGGAAAAAATATAGAGTTACTGAAACTGGCAGAATCTCTTTATTTTCAACAATGGAGAGAATGAAACTAAATAACTTAGCTTTAGGTGAACGAATCAATTTTTCTATTCTATTTTCTAGACATTTAGCTATTTCTGCATTTTGTTTAACTGATGATTATGAATTGTTTGGAAAGACAAATAAAAATCTCTTTGATCCTTTATTTGAAGAAGAATATGATCACGAAATAATCTTAAAGGATGCTTAATATCAATATTTCTATAGAGAATTAAAACATCTAGAATCTTAAGATAAAAGAGGACCTAATAAATATATTTAAAATGATTATACTTATGTGACTCCTAAATTAGAAAATTTAGCATTCATTTGGAGATTTGAATACAAATAACCTTGGTTTATTCCAACACAATAAATAAGAGAATATTATGGTGAAAAAATAGCATTATATTTTACTTTTTTGGGTTATTATACAATGATGCTATTGCCAATAGGATTTATAGGATTAATTATTAGTATCATACAACTATTAGTTTGGAATCAAAATGATTATAATTATGTGATGCCATAAATAGTTTTTGGAATGATTTAAATATAATGGGCTAATCTTATGTATGATTTGTGGTAACAAAGAGAGAAAGTATTTGCAGCATAATATGGTTAAGGGGAAAGTGGATCAGGTGAATAAGCTTAATAGAGATCTGATTTTGTTGGTAATTATGAAAGATCTATTGAGAATGATAATTTAAATACATTAAATTATTCTGATTTAAAAAAGTTTATGAGAATTGTGTTGACTCTATTAATTTAAATTAGTATTTTAGGAATTTATGTTGGAGTTGTTATAGGAATATTCTTTATTTCTGAAGAATTTTAAAAAAGCTCTAGTATTTCAGATATTATTGGAAATGATATAGTCTAATTATCAGTAACAGTTCCTGCAACAATAAATTTAGTAGTTATTCTTATTTTAGATCCTTTTTTTGATAAAACAGCAGGTTCATTAACAGATTATGAAAATCATAAAACTATATCTGAATATGAAACGAATTTTGTATTTAAAAAGTATTTTTTATCATTTTTTGCACTTTGTGGACCAGTTGTTGAAATAATGTTTGGACATTAAGTAATATTATTGTATATTTTAGAAAGTAGGTTTAACTTGTATAAATAATGATTGTTTAAAACATGCTTAATATCATTTCTCTTGTATTTTTTTAATATAATTTACATTGAATATTTGGGAAATAATGAAACCTAAAATAATTGTTTTTATGAGATAATTAAGTGAAAAGAAGGAAGAGAAAGCAAAAGAAGATTAATCTAAGAAACTTGCATCTTAAGTTGATGAGATTAGAGGAGATTATGATGAGGGTAGAAATGATGATTTAAATTCTTAAAAATCCCCGAGTTTATCACCAGATAGAGGATCATCTAAAAAGAATAATGATTAGGTAGTTTCTGAATAGTAGGATACTTAAAAGAAAGAAACAGTTACTAGAGAAACAAATCCATTTGAAAAGATAAATAATTTTATTGAGAATGAATTTTTATACAAAGAATCATATGTTATAAGTCCTGAAAGATATGGTACTGTAGATGAATATATGGAAATTACACTTTAATATTCTATGTTGGTATTATTTGGTACAACGTTTCCTTTATGTTTTTTTATTGCATTTATATGGAATGTTGTTGAATTGTAGACTGATAAATTAAAATTACTGAATGATATGTAAAGACCATTACCTATAGGTGAATCAACTATTGGAGTTTGGAATGATGTACTTGAAGGATTGGCATATTTATCATTGGTTTCAAATAGTGGTTTGATTTCTTATGCAAGAGATAGAATAGTTGATTATAATCCCTCTATAAGTCTTTTAGCTTTCTTTTTAATTATTTTGTTATCTAATTTCTTTTTAAGGTATATTGAGGGTTCAATTTTCGGTGAAATTCCTTATGAAATATAGAATTTAATGCAAAGACATTAATATTTAATCAAAAGTACTATTGAAAAATTTATGGGATCAAGTGAAAAACAAGCATCAGATAATTAAGGTGATGATGATATTAAAAGATATCCAACTTAAAAAATATATGGTTGTTTATTATAAGAATAGAAAACTAGTTAATATGAAGAAATTAGTTCAGATTCTGATGTTGAAGATTATATAGTGAATAAATAAAAAAATAAAGAGAAACCAAATACAAATTCTCCTAGAAATATGAAATCTTCTCCTAAAAGTGCTGGAAAATAAGAATTAACTAAAAAGAAAACCAAATCTAAATTAAGTACATCTACTACCATGGAGGATGAAAATGCAAAAATAAAAAAGAAAAAGGAATCAATTGATTCTTTAAAGAAATATTTAGCTGCCAGACCTTCTAATTGGGCAATGAAATTTAAATTAAAAGATTCAAATGATCCAGAAATTTAATAAAAATAAAAAGCTTTCTTTTTTAAGACTCTTAAATTTCTTAAAATGTTGAATGAACTCAATCCTCATTAAAAATTATGGACTGATGATCGTTTTACATATAGAAAATGTTTCCTTAGAAGACATTTAGTATTAATTAGAAATCTTGATTGGAGAAAAACACTTATATTTTAAGAGAATTAATAAAAATTAAGACATGATTTAAAAGAAAGTTAACATGAAAAATATAGAAGATAATTGACAATCTTAAATTAAAATTTAGATATTCATTCTAATTTTGTAGAAAAGATGGAAATTCTTAAAAAAATAGAAGAATATGTTGAAAAACATTTATGGATTGATGGTCGTAAAACTATTGTATTTAAAGTCTAAGGAGTATGGTTTAGTTAATATCGTAAAAGTACAAGAAAATAACCAGCTATTGCAATTGCTAAAAATTATGAAAAATTACTCATGAATTATAAATAGGTTTTTAAATAATAAGGAAAAGAATTTGATTCCAAACCTATTGATGAACGATTCTATACATACATAAATAACATGACTCAAACTTAAATCTAAAATTATAGTGATGAAGACTATTTAAAATTTGTTGATTCAATTTAGTTAGCACCTAAAACTAATTTGTAATTCCCTTTGACATCTAAAGGAGTTAGTTAAGTTGAATAAGAATTAGATGCTTATATTGGATTAGATCTTAGAAAGTAATTTAATTTAATGAATTTTACTTATATTCCTTTTAGAATTTAAGCACCTCAAGTTTCTCTGTTGAGAAATTAAATTTGGAATTAATTTATTAATTAATAAATTGCTAAAGAATAACCAACATTATATTTTATTGTCCCTTTAGATACTAAGAAATCCTTACATACAGCAACTTTAGAATATAATGTATTTGCTGCTAAATAACAGTTGTATAGATGGTTAGTATCATAAATTCAAAAACCTAAATTAGCTGATGTGTAAGTCTTTTTTTAAACTGAAATTCTTTTTCATAGAACATTACATTAAGATATTATTAATAGAGTAGCTAGATTCTATGAAAAAATAACAGATATTAAATATATGGAATTGTAATTAAAGATACCTATTGCTCCTCTAAAGTATTTAAAAATAACAAATGAAGATCCTATTATAAATATAAGAGATCCAGTTATCAAAGGCTATTTGAGTAGAGCTTATGGAGCACCTAAAGGTTTTAGTATTTGTAATGGTAAGACTTTTAAGGAAGTCTTATTAAGTAGAACTAGTTATTATAGTGATTAAGAGATTTGTGAATTTTTAGTAAGTGTTTTAGATACATTGTCTTTTGTTGAATGTGAATAAGGTATGTATCATGGCAATATAAATTTATCTACTATCATGTTAATTAAGAATTAATAACCAAATGATATTTGGTATACATATAGTTTGGTAGATTTTGGAATGTTTTATTGGTATGATTATGTTGTAGAATAAGTATATTTTACCAGAGCTATTGAATAAAATGATGAATTATGGTACATGAGTCCAGAATTAATCACAAATTATTTGAATCCAAAATTTTAGATAGCTATTTCTCCTCAAAAATGTGATGCTTATTCATTAGGTATGGTTGGTTTATAAATGGCAACTCTTGGAAAGATGGGTGTATAGATTGAGTAATTGTTGAAAGATCAAGAAGGGGATGTAGAAAGGGCTGTAAAAAGATGGATAGTGAATAGTAAGTAATAATTAACTATGAAATATCCAAATACTATGAATTTAGTATTATAATTAATTAATCCAGATTAAATGCAAAGATAGTTTCCTAGTTAGATATATTAGAAACATAAAAATTAATAGTCATACAAAGAGACAGAAGCGAGAATTAATTTTGATGAAGCTTTATTTCATTAAATAAGATAGAATACAAATCCTAAGATTACTAAGGATTAGATGGTTCGTATATTTGATGGGAAAAATACTCATCTTAATGTAAATGTGAAGGATAAGATTTCAATTTAAGAATATTTAAAATAGAATATATATAAATTTGAACAGCATTTGAAATTATAGTAATTAGATTAATTGGAAGAACAAATAGAAGCATTTGAGAAAAATATGTTAAGTTAATTTTTTTATCAATTGCCATATGCTAAAGAAACTGGAGATATTTTATCTTGTATTGAAAACTATTGCAATAATTAAGTGTATGAAATATTGGGTAATAACATACATGAATTTAAATACATGGTACTTTATTTATTGAGTAAAGTATAATTACACATAATGAAATAGGATTATCGTTTTGCATAATAACTATCTTTAAAATCATAAGAAATAATAAAAGGAGTTGAGATTACTTGTGTGCATCTATTACATGATATTACAAAAACAGAAGAAGAACGTTAGAAAATTTAGAATGTCCATTTATCAATAGCAAATAGAGAGTAATTGTATGAATTGTAGGTTTCAAAAGATCTATTGATAAAGAATTGTAAAGATGATAAAAATAAACTCAAAGATGTGAAATAATTACCATATAAATTAAAATAATATGGTCATTTCTTTCAGTAAGCTTTAGTTTAGATATACTATCTTTAATAGCATTATTAATTGGCTCATGATATTTCAGAAGAATTCATTATAGATACATCAGGAGAAATAGTACATGATGTAAAACATTCTAAAAAGAACCAATAAGGATAATTTATAATTAAAGAAGATATTCTTATTAAAATGGTAAGTAGATTAAAAATGTATTATTTAAAAGTACAAATCAGTTTTGATAGTTGGAGAGATGCTGATTTTCAATAGGTTCACGATTTATTAAATGAACTTAACATTCTACATAGTTTTATTAAAATAGATGAAGAAAATTTGGGAGAGATTGATAAAAGGAAATCATCATTAGTTAGATAGTAATTATAAAATGCATAAATTAAAATTAAGGAAGATTTTTAAAGAAGTCTTGATCATACTTTATAGTATCTTTATCGTTAAGGTAAATTTCTATAAATCATGTAATTGAATAGAAATAAAGATAATCATGGATTATTAAAGAGATTAAAACCTTATACGAAGAATTTCACATAATAAATATGTTTATTAAATCAATTAAATTAAATTCCTTAATTAGGTTGGACTGGTGAATATTTTGCTGAAATTAATGATGAAAAATCTACTCTAAATATATTCAAAACAGTTACTGAAATTATGGAAGAAGTTTTCTTTATTTCTGAAAGTTTTGGTCTTAAATCTTAAATCTTTCAAAATTATAATAAATATTTACTTGCTCAACTCATTTATCATTGTTCTTAATTAATATATTATAATCCTATAACAATGAGTGAAGGTATATTTTAAGGATACATGTAAATACTTAAGGATCAAAATACAGAGTTGTTAAATTGTATTTTATGTGTTAAAATACTTCATATCTTAATTCATACATAAAATCATTAATATCCATACATTACTAAAAAGGAATCGAATAACATTTAAGGTGTTACTCATACAATAATGGAATAATCTCTTATAAAATAATTACATTTCTATTATTAATCTTTAATACCATTTTTTTTTGAAGAGTATAATTCAAAGAATAATTCTGATTCTTGGTTAAAAAGTAATCTAATGTATAGTCTTATAACTGAGTTAATCTAAGGATATTTTTTTATTAATAGTAGTTCTAATTTGGAATAGTTGGATGATGAGAATTTAGATACATTTCTAAAATCTATTGAAGCCAAACACGCAGCAGAAGAAGCCATATGCAATAAAAATGGGTTTATGGTTGTAGAACATAATTTAGCAAGAGCACGTCTTTGTCTATTATCTTAAAATCATTAATAATTACCTGTTATTTTATAAACAATCAATACTAATATGGATTAAATTGCAGAGGAATTTGTATTACAAACAGATACTAAACCTTTAATTCAAATGATTTTACTTACCACTATTGATATTATTTCAATTGTATAATATCAATTAGGAGGAAATTCATTTACTTAATTAGTTGAATTTAAATAAATGCCTTGGATTAAGAAAGAAAAATATGAAAGTTATTTTGATATCAAATTTATGGTTTTAAAAATACTAGATTTAAATTTAAAGAATCAATAATTAGAATTTGCATCAGAATTATTAAAATTTACTTTGATGCTTTTTGAAAACAAATCTTATCTATTTAATTCAACTCATTCATCTTTTTATTAAGCCTTACAAATATTCAATGTTAAAATCTTTGCTTTTTCTGAAGAAATTCGTTTAAATATTCTCAAAGAAGATAAAACAGATGAAAGATAAATGGAAGATCTTTTTGAACAAGTTTAAAAAGCTTAAAGTTTTACTAAAAGAACAAGTAATTATTTAGAAGTAAGTAAATTATTGTTATCTTAATCTCTTGAATAAAATGAAATGATATAAATAAAGGCAGCTTTAGCATAAATTGATGCAGCTTCATTAGAAAATTAAGTTGTTTTATGTTAATTAGGAGTTAAATTAGTTATTTATTAAATGCATACAGGATAATATTCTGAAGCTGATACAACTGCAGCAAGTGTATCATAAAAATTATTTTAATTAATTTATTCATAACTATGTAGAGTAGCTATTAGATGGTAGAGTGAGAAAACATTTTAAAAATCAACAAAAAAAGATTTAAAAGTAGAAGAAATGTTTAAGATTTTAAATTAAACAGCTTAAATTTATGAAAAATATGAACATAATGTATTAGCACTTTTAGAACCAATAAAAGAATTGTTTTTAAATGTTAGATAATTTAAGACTTTAAAATAAATAATTTTTCTTAGAACTGTATTTTAATATTTAGAGAGTTTACACACTCTTGCAATAATGATGAAAGGAGATTTTAAATTGGCATAAGCAAATTTATCATTGTAAATATAATTATTTAGTTTAGTGTTGATAAATTTGGTTAACAATCTTAAGTTGAAGAGATTATTACACTCAATTCAAATATTCAAATGAATCTGGATTTGATTATTGCAGACTATATGAAAGGTATTTAAAAATCTTAATTGATGATACAAACAATCGAAGATAAATAATAATTATTGAATGTTTAAATAAAAACAATTAAGAATGAAAGAGTATATATATTAATTAATTAATATATAGTTCTTTTGTAATTTAGAATTTTAGAAATACATTGAAATCAAAAAGCCTGAATAAGAATCTACAAAACCACTTGTATTTTCTTATGATTAAACATTAATGAAAAGTGCTTTGAGACCATACTTTGAAATTAATAGATTAAAAACAGAAGCCTATTTATGTTATTTAGAATCTTCTGTTAATGTTGCTGATAAATTAACTTAAGTTGTCGATCCAATGTTTGCAATTTAAAAATATATTTAATAACAATATGGATCTAATCATATCTTTAATGCTCATATCTAAAGATTGATAGCTGGAATGTATTCTGAATTTTTGACAACATTAAGAGTCAAAGATTTAGAAGAATAATTAATTGTAAATATCATAATTATTATATTATAATCTAGACTGATACTGAAGCTAAAATAAATGCATTCAAAACAGAATTAAATGAAAAAACTATAAAGATTTTAGAAAGCAAAGTTAAAAATAAATGTACACCAGCTATGGAATAAAAGTACTTAGAAACAAAATCATTCATTTAATCAAAGATAACAGTACTTGAAGGGATTAATGAAGGATTATCAATTGATCTAGTTTGCAGATGGTCTTTAATAGCAGCAAATTAATCCTACTAAATTTATAAAAGTTTTTGTTAAGAATATTCATATGAATATAGTCCACAATTAGCATATCTTTATTCAACTTATTCAGATATATATTTTGTATTAAATTTATAATTTATCAATAGATTCAAAGTAAAATAGTATCAACAATGAAGTACTTAGAGGAAGCTAAAAGTGCCTATGAGTTTTGTTAAACTTCTATTTATAATCCCGATTATTGTAAACTAACTTTTAGATAAGGATATTTAAGATAAAATATTATGAATATGATAAAGAATTATGTAGATGTTTTGATGGGATTAGCATTATTAAGTATTTAATTAATCTATTATTAGCACCTTCTAAAAAGTTTGAAATCCTTACTTTAATTCTAAAAGAAGATAAAACGTACCTCCAACATTTTGATAATTATAAAACTCATGGATTTGTTAGGTTTCTAGAATAGAATTTATTAAAACAACTAGAATTAGATACAATATCTGGTAAAAGATTACCAGATTTGTAAAGAAAAGATTAAAAGAAATTAATTTAATTCTTATAAGTCGAAGGTGATAAATTGGCTTTCTAATTAACAATTGATTAAAAAGCAAAGGTTCCTACACACACAATTGAACTCATCATTAAAGATGGGATAGAAACGATCTAAAAAGAAAAAATAAAAATGGATTATTCTGGGGAAGAATACTTCTAAAAGGTATTAATTATATATTATAAAGGCATATTAAATTTGTAAAGCTTTATTACCAGTAGATAATCCATTATGTTAGAAATTAGAATTTTATGCAATTAAATAAAAATCTAAAGCAAAAAGAAGAACTAGTACAACTTGATTATAATAAAATACATCAATTTTAATATTTTTGGCATTTAAATTTATTTATATTAATTAAAAAATCAATAATATTATTGTTATTAACAGAAACTTATATTTTCCATACTCTACCATTAGATATTTTTGCATTTACATGATTTCTAATTATTTTTCACTTATTATGTTGACATGAGAAGTATTCATTTTTTATTTAGATCTTAAGAAGCTTTAGATCAATCATTTAACTCCTCAAATTGGTCATTTTAGTTTTTTATTCATCTCTAATTTATTTTGAATATATTATTGTCTATTAATGCAAATTAGTTAATTTATCATATGAAATTTAATCCACATAAGTTGACTCTGTAAAAAACTCATTATTTATTTTGATCCTCTATTAAGAAATACTACTGTTGATAAAAAAAATAATCATATTACATAATTATTTTAATATTAGAAAGAATGGGATTAAGGAAATAATGAAAGATTTTTGAAACAAATCTATTACTTGTAAGAACAGTGTATAGAGCTATTCTTCATAATGAATGTATGTGATTTATAACATAAAGTTGAGGATAGGGTTATTTTATTTTTAAAAATTTGCATGTTTTCTAAACATATAAAGTTTCTGAGATATTTGGATTGAATGTAAAATTGAAGAATCAATCTGAGTTATTGAGAACTGTTCTAATTACATAAAAATAGAAGATCTAAATATTAATTATTAGTTTTGATTGCCAAATTTTTGAATTAAATCAAATTAAATTCTTATTGTATATATATTCAACAGATATTGTGTTTTTGATTCTGAAACTCAAACTATTGAAACTAGGATAGATTTAATCAAGATTTCTGAATTAGACATTCAAAAATATTTTAAAGAATCCTTTGTTTAATAAAAATACTTTGATTTAAATCAAAAATGAAATAAATCGAATCAACATTTTACTGGAAAATAAATTGCATTTATAAAAGATTTCTGGAATGAATGGATTTCCAACAAACTTGTCAAAATCTTAGCTTACATAGGTGAGTTGTCTAGAGTTAGAATTTCATTAGAGATTTGCAACAATAAATGCAATCTCTTAATTTAGGCTTTAAAAATACCTTTATGTTATGTGATTCTGAGAGTAAAGATAAACAAAAGGAAGATTCTATTTGAAATATATATAATTTGTGACATGAATTCAATTTATAATCTAAAAATTAATATTGCTCCTCACAATTAATATAATTTTACTAGATTATTTTAAAGACTGAGATTAATTAATAAAATTATTAATATGATGATCTTTCAACTCCGATACAACACAAAATTATCAGAATCTTTGAATAATAGCAAAGATTATATATCAATGCAAAATCCTAAATGGAATGTTCCTAATACATAGAGAATTGATAATGTATAGCATATTAACAGGAATAAACTTCGTACAAAGTATCCAGATGACATGTTGTTGTGCTTAGTATCGAAAGGTATTGCTCCCAATAATAAAAACTAAATGAAGAATTTACTCATAAATGAAACCTTCTCTAATAACAAAGAATAACATCAAGAAATCAAGTAAGAACATCCTTA